CGGTTCAGTTTTGATTTAAAAGAGTTCAATGATTGAGCGTTTACAACTGCAGGTGTTAGATTGTTCCACAGTTCAGTCACACGGTTTTAAAAGGCGTTTCCTCTTAGTTTTATTTTTAAACGTTTTTTGTAGACTTTCTTAATGTGTTCTCTAGTGTTGTGCATGTTCTGTACAGCCGCAAGTATTGTGAATTTGTCTACATTGGCATCCACCAGACCGTTACAAAGTGTGTACAGGTTTACCATGTCCGCTCTTCTAGTGATGAAATTCCTAGTTTCCCTAAACATTCTTTATAGCTTCAATGTTTTAGATGAGGCAACAACCTTGTGGCACTACGCTGTATATTTTCCAGTGTTTACCGGTCCCTGTTGTGCATAGGAAACCAAACTGATGTACAGTACTCGAAATGGGGTCTTACTAAAGACTTGTAGAGATTTACGAACATTTCCTCGTCCATGTATGTGAAGGATTTAAATATTAAACCCACCATTCTGCTTGCCTTCTTTGCTTGCGCATTGACGTTGTCAGTGAATTTCAAGTTGTTATCGAAATCTATCCCGAAGATCTTCTCGCGTGACACTTTCTGGATTAACGAAGTACTGATGCTTTCAGTTAAAGTAAAGCCTTGATTTGATTCCGTGTTGCCAAGCTTGATATTCATATATTTGTACTTGTCTTTGTTCAGTTTCATTTGCCATATCTCAGTCCACTGACTAATATTGTCGAGGACCTCCTGCATTGAATCTATACACTCGGGGGATGCTATTTCACCATAGATTTTTGCATCATTCGCAAACAGTTTATCGTTGACACAGTTAGAAAAAATAGGTCCCAAAACGCTACCATGTCGAACTCCGCTCGTAACTGGGATTGATTTTGATGCATTGCCGTTGATCACTACGCGCTTTCCCATGTTGTGCAGAAAGTTCCGTATGAAGTTTCCAACATTTCCATCAATTCCATACCCCTTAACATTTTCCAGGAGCCTCCTGATGGGAACTTATCTAAGTCCGTGCTATCAGTTACTTAGTTAAAAAACTTCTACATGAAGCCATGCTATTCTCTTTAGGCTAAACTCCCTTCACTTTAAATGTATATATGAAAACTCATACGTAAGTATAGATATGTGCTTTTAAAGTTCGCATTAACCCAAGCACATGTGCTTCCACTCTTAAATGACGCGACATTTCAACTTATTTGCCCCAGGGAAAAGCCATCCCAATTTTTGGGCCAAGAAAGAAAGTATAATTTTGTACTGGAGTCCTTCTGATACACTAACTGTTTCCAACACAAATCCACAAAACTTTATACTTCCGGAGCAAACCAGTTTATGATGTACTCTAAAGCCTATTTTTTAATGTATTGTGTAGCTGTTTGCGAGTCAAAAACATCTGAAACAGCGTACAATTAATTATCGTACATGTATTTAATTGCTGAACAAACAAAACATGCGCCAATAATTAATGTTTCTTTTACATCAATAGAGGTTGACAAACAAACACAAAACACAATCAACATTATACACATTTTATTCAATTCAAAAGTGAGTAATTTATGGATATAAGCCGAAAACTGTTTCCCTCACTTATTGGACAGTGTGAGGCGTATATCTAACTTAAAACATAGTCCCCTTTGAGTGCCTCCAATGCTGATTCAGGTAACACATTTTCTATTGGTGTTCACGTGCACCGACCCATTTAACTTATCGGACAGTAAAATGTGAACCTATTGTCGGACTCATGCAAAGCTCATGCATGCTTTTCGAGTCTGTGAAGTGAACATCTGTTCATATATCACAATGTTCTCCGACACTGAGGAGGTTATCTGTTCAACTCAGTCAAAATGTATGGACACTTGAGAAACAAGTTTTATTTGATGGCGTCTTGAGTGACATTTTGGAAAAAGGATGAGGAAAATAGGAGGCTGAATTTTACGATTAAAGCAACATTTTGCCAGACCTATCCGAAAATTACACAAGAATGCATGTAGACAGGATAGCTGTTAGATTTTGATTTTAATGGATTCAAAGGATATACTCACTGCTGGTACAGTACTCAAGCTGTTGAATTTTGAATGTGTTGGATTCCATGAATATATACACAGCTGGTACAGTACTCAAGCTGTTGAATTTTGAATGTGCTGGATTCCATGAATATATACACAGCTGGTACATTACTCAGCTGTTAAACTTAGAATGTGTTGGTACAGGACTCAGCTGTTAAACTTAGAATATGTTGGATTCCATGAATATATATACAGATGGTACAGTACTCAAGCTGTTGAATGTGTTGGATTCCAGGAATATATACACAGCTGGTACAGTACTCAGTTGTTAAACTTAGAATATGTTGGATTCCATGAATATATATACACAGCTGGTACAGTACTCAAGCTGTTGAATGTGTTGAATACAACGCTGGTACAGTACTCTAGCTGTTGAATGTGTTGGATTCTAATGATAATTCACCACTGGTATTCTTTATATTATATTGATTTAATATTTTACTAACAGTCCATGTGTTTTGTTATTTTTGTTTTACCTATATCACTAAATGACTCCATTTAGCTCTGCACATCACTTTATCTAGGATGTGGTGTCACGACTGTCGAATTAGTTGAGCACTTATAAGACAGGTGGGTAATTTATTGGACAGTTGGTCAAACGTATTGCACAGTTCATGCAACTTATTTGACACTTGTGACATCATCGCTATGTTTTAAATTTGATTACAATTTTTGTCTCTCATATGCAAAAGTATGTAATCTGTTTGTGGTCCAAACTCAGTTTGACACTACAATATTAACTCAATATGGATAAGTATAGTACTGTAGGTACATTGTATTGGTAAAACTGTACTTTATTTAGCGTGTCTGATCAGCGCCTGGTTAGATTTATGGTCGTTAACACAAATGTTCAAAATGTGATTTTTGAAAACTATGTAAAACAATGTATTCATGGAAGCAAGGAATAAGATTATACATCTACGTCCGTGATGGAAACGATCCATTGGCCAAATATTCTTAAACGACAGCTGGAGACAAGAGTACTAAAACCAATACACAACCCCGTTTCCAATAATACTCTGTCGCATGGGCTAATCCGACCATGTACAGCTGTCCAACGTTGGCTCTTATCATGGCTGAAGAGGATCACGTGATGATGTGTGGAGGGGTGTAAACGTGACATGTGACAAAGTTGTGATTTAACGTCCTCCTCACAAGAAACACGGTAATATGAAGACTGTTGTCTAATTATTCCGTCTTTGCGTATTGCAGAGTTATCTTCTCTTGGGAGCAGGTATTGATTGTTACGTCATTGGTTTGTGAGAAAATTACGTCGTTTTCTCAAAAATTGATGACGTTACTCTCATAAACAAGTGACGTAACAATCAATACCTGCTCCAAAGAGAAGATAACTCTGCAATACGCAAAGACGGAATAAGGAGACATCGCCAAGAAGGAAGGGAAATGAGCACCTGTAAACAGGGCCATTAGAGTAGACCCTAACCTTCTTTTCATGTACATACTAGTTAGTGAATAGTTATACATACACGTCATCTTATGTTTAGGACACAAGTATAGCTTCACATCTACATCAAGATAGAGACATATAAAGTCATAGTAAATACGTCTCTGATCAAGATCATATCAAGTAAAGAATATATTGATTCTTAATAACAGCTCTTATGTTTAATTGCAGAAAAACTAAACCTCAGCGTTACCATTTTGTTTTTATATGCCAGCATTATCACTAATAAACTTTGGCCCGATGAATGTTCTATTTTGTCATCTGATGCATATCTAATGAAACCAATTATATAAACATAGTACTAGTACTATCATTAAAAGATTAAAAGCAGAAATGCACAGATCATATTCCATGTAAGATACTCGCGATAAACTTTGTTTAAAGTTGACTTCTGGTCCGTCTTCCGTCCAGTAGATCATACTAAAATATTCTTAAGTCATGCTATTCAAATATTGAATCAGTGACAGTTGTAAAAAATATAGATTACAGCATTAATGTGTTGATATATAATTAACTGCCACACTCGGCTTAGTCCTGGGGGTAGGATTTGCACAAACAAAAACATGACAAGGCCATAAAAACAAATTTTATAGTTCTTCATTACCAATAATGCCCCTTTAGATTCTTTCAAAGATTCATGAAAGACTGGCTCCGAATATTCATACAAAACTTATCTTTTGGTGGCCGCCGATGACCTCTAACCTTGACTGATATCAGGTTAACAACTGTTGTACAGACAGATGTCATCTACAAAACATCTATACATATAGTGGTATATAGTTAAAAAATCATAAGTGATACTTAGAATGCATGATTACATGTGTTACATGTATATTTTATATGACACAATTGAGCACAATATCAGTAAGTATCTAATCTCTATATACAATAGTGTAAATTCCAACACCAATTACACATTAGCTTTATTTCCTTTAAAAATTGTTACCTTTATCACATAAATAACAACACAGTACACACACAAATGTTACCATTATTAGTTTTGTGTCATTCCACTTCTCATGGTAGCTCATTAGCCTCAATCGCTACTGCAGATCTTTGAATGGCAGCAAAATCATTGGCTGAGAAAATAGGGACAATACAATGTACCTCCAGTAATGTTAACTGTTTAAAACATCACATGATGAGGCCCAGAGGGCCTGTAGTGCTAAACTTGACTGTTACCTTGTGTCACGTGTAAGCTGAACATTCGTGTTTGTACATTAGATGAGTTTAACCACTTTAATGCTTCTGTGAACTATAAGCTGGTTTATTTGTGAAAAAATAATACATGTAGCTTTTAAATTCTCCCAAGCAAAATACCAAACACACCTTTGAAATTTTTAAGATGATGCTAAAATATCTTGCCCTTTTGACCTTAAAATAGTCAAAGGTCATCTTTTATAAGTTCAAAATTCATTAGTAGCTATTGGCCAAACATCATGACCAAAATCTCTCTGGAAATTGATAAGGATTTTTTTTTTTTTTTTTTTAACCCATTATTAGGTTTTATTGACCTTTGTACCTGGCCAGCTATCAAAGTTGATCACAGTGTAAGATATTTTTTTTTTTCCACTTGCTAACTTTAAGCATATTACAATGTCCAATATAAAGTATCGTGGACCTCACAATTTTTTTCCATGAGGTAATTTAAGTTTTTGAGAAAGTTGACCCCTCTGATCTAGAAAGTTAGTAAACATCAGCTAACTGAAGCATTTCACCTATAACAGTCTATGTTGACCTTTGACCAAGTTCATGTTCAACTTCAAAACAATATGTTAGAAATATGTGAATGCCTGGCGTCATTCATTGCATAGCAAAAGGTCATGGCTTACATGTATAGACCGGTGACCTTGGAATTAGGTTAAGGTCACCTTTTTGAGGTAACTTTAGTATTCCATCCCAAGAAGCTACTAGCCAGATATCATTATCCTTGGTCTTTCAGTTCTTCAGAAGCTGTTCCATGAAAAAGGTGACAGGTGACTGAGTGCCGCACCACACTATTCCACAGGCACAAGGTAAGATTGAGAGGTTTAGTTAATTTTGTGGAGAATGAACAGCAGTCTCTGTCAATCCTGGGAAAAAGTAGAACTGGTGTCGGAGGGTACTGTTGAATTCAGAAACTGCCACTGCAATTTTTTTTTCTGAATCAAGGGCTCTTCCCTCAGACACTAGCTTGTTGACCTGTCATGTAAGTCACTAAACATCAGTATTGTAGCCAAAATCTACTTGAAAGGTTATGAGAAATTGTGTCAATTTAATGCATAAACATTTCAACAGATAATCTAGATCACAGACAATTATACCACGACAACAATCAAAAAGAGCGGGAAATAGTGTATTATATTCTTAATTTGGGAAGGGATTCCCCTATTCATAACAATAGTATGTCGTCACTTAAACAATACAATGACGTCAAGTCAACCCTAAATTTAGCCTGTAACGTTAACACTACGATATGTATATGATACAATACAGGTGAACAGGGTAAGAGAAACACTACAGGTGAACAGGGTAAGAGAAAAAGAATCATTCACCCCCTTGAGGGTGAGATAGGGGAATCTCAACACTCGAGGATTCTTAAGTTGCAAAACACTCGGCTAAGCCTCGTGTTTGGTAACTTAAGAATCCCCCCCCCCCCCCTCGGGTTGAGATTCCCCTATCTCACTCCTAAGGGGGTGATAGATTCTATTAATCTCACTTGGGAGTTCCATATGATATGCATATGAAGTTCTAAATAAAAGAAAAACCTCTGTATACTTACAAGTGTCAACATATGGAGAAGTTCGGCTTGACAAGCATAGTTTCTGAAGACAAACACTAGTGCCTGAATGAACCAAGATCCATACCTCATGTTACGGAAGGAAACGTAATCTAAAAATATGAACACAGAAAACACATTTTACTACTTCAGATTTCTTAAGATAAATAAGATTAGTGTGTTTATGTATTGTATAGGCTTTATTTAGCTTTAAGGGCCCTTCTTTCTTATTTATAATCATTTGAAGTTTTCACTAACCACTGGTTAAAAGTAACCAATATTTGATCAACTGGGCTAATTTCTCAGTTACTTGTAAACAAAAACTTACCCTGTGTTGTGGCGTTAGCTACAAACATGTCAGCATCTGACGGTGCTTTCTCAACCTTACTGTCTGGCTGGTCCAAAGTCTCAGGTTCAGGCACATTGAGATTTAAGGCTCCAAAAGATTGCTTTGCATCTGCCACACTGTCGGCCGAATTGGCTCCACTGTCATATGTGTCTGTAAGGAAGTCATGTTATGGGTAGTATAACTTTTCCGACCTGGTTTTAGAATCTTTGTCCAGCAGTACCACTCCCACTTGTGTATGCATGCAGTTATAATCCACACACAAAAGGTAGCCAACAGTATCTCATTGCTATTTGACCCATGACATCAGTGATCCTGACCTTACATTTTAATATCAATGCATTATATTGCTGGCAAAATAATAGTGTTTATAACATTAATCAATTTAAAGTACTTTCAGAAATACACAATATGTACCACTAGTTGTGCAAATATAGGTTTGATATCAAAAAAAGTATAACAAACTCTGGTACATGTCCTAACAAGAGGCCCAGAGGGCCTGTATCGCTCGCCTGGAAATATTAGCAAAATTGAAGTTAGAATAGCATAATGTTACTGGAAGTGTACATGTACTACATGGTTAGTCAGGGGTTATATTTATATGCAATTGGACAAAATCTTGTCATTTCTAAAATAAAAGGAGGATTTCGAAGAATTTGCAATGTTTCCCCTATTGGGCCCCGTCCCTCTGTCCCCAGGGGGGTCAGACCCATCATTGATACAAAATTAATCACCCAAGGATGCTTAAGACCAAATATGGACATAATCCTGTCATTCCTACAGAAGAAGGATTTTGAAGGATTTGCAATGTTTCCCCTATTGGGTCCCCCTCCTCAGGCCCCAGGAGGTCCAAACCCACCATTTATACAAAATTGATTTCCCTTCCCCATAGGATGCTACTGTTTAAATTTGGTCAAAATAACTTCATCCCAACGGAAGAAGGAAATTAAAACAATTCCTCTATATCCCTTATTGGGCCATGCCTCTCTGCCCCTAGGGGGATCAGACCCACCGTTTATACAAAATTGGTTCCCCTTCACCCAAGGATGCTTCATACCTAACATTCCTACAGAAGAAGGATTTTGAAGAATTTGCTTAGTTTCCCCCATTGGGCCTCGCTCCTCAGCCCCTAAAAGGGGGGGGGGGGGGGCACACTCACTGTTTATACAAATTTGAGTCCTCTTGGCCCAAGGATGCTCCAGACTAAATAAAGATAAAATCCCTTAATCCCTATGGTAGGAGAAGGATTTTGAAGGTTTAACCTCTATTCCAATATTGGGCCCCACCCCTCTGCCCCCAGGGGAGCCACACCCACCGATTATACAAAATGGAGTCCCCTTGGCCCAAGGATGCTCAAAATTAAGTTATAATAAAATCCCTTAATCACTATGGTAGGAGAAGGATTTCGAAGGTTTTACCTCTATTTCCCTTATTGGACCCCGGCCTTTTCCCCAAGGGAGGCGCATCCACCGACAATACAGTCCCCTTGGCCTAAGGATGCTCCAGACCAAATTTAGTCAAAATTTACTTGGCCGTTCAGGACAAGTAGTATTTTAAAGGAAAGGTTGACGGAAGGAAAGACGACGGACAACGGACGCTGCGGTATGGCATAGCTCACCATGGTCCTTTGGACCAGGTGAGCTAAAACAGAACAGAGACCTGTAACTTTATTTTCAGGGGACTAAATTCCCTATATCTTTATGTGACATTTCATGTCTCAAGATTCATTAGTAAAGGATGTTTGTTATAATGATCGTTAGCTTAAATAACAATGAAATTATAATTAAATATACCAACTCTGGTATCAAAATTGAATCAATAACAATAACAAGCATGTTTGTTATTAAACCTGTCTTAGGGTACTGTAAGTTGTTTACCTCCACGACAAGCCTGGATGAAGATCAGTTTCGGTTTGTTTGTCATGCTGCTAAAGTTCCGGTTATTGAAGCTGCTTTTTACTTCAGCAGTTGGAAGGACTTTTCCATCTATTCCATAGATCCCATCGGATGAACCATGGCTCAGGAAAACCAGGATAAAGCAGTCGGCAGTCTTGTGAAATGGACGATCTTTCTCCTCCTTAATGTCCTCCCTCATTTGCTAAAAAAGTAATGTTGGGAATCAGAAGGGGATCCTAATTCATAATCCTAAGACTTTATATAAAAGAGTATCAATAAATATCTAACTTGAGACATCTTTTTGAAAATTTTGCAAAGTCGATATATACTGTTGGATTCTAATTTAGATGTTTTAAGAAATCTTCTAGGTGACAATTAATTCTTGATTAAGATCTGTATATTTTCTATATGAGTTTGAAACACTAAATAACATTTATGATCTCATATTTGTTTTCAGTCAATAAAATCAAATATCCATATTTAGGTAAATAAAGAAAACAAAATCTTTGTTTTAGAATTCATATTAACGAACGCATCGCTTTTGCTATATTTTTTTCCAGATTGCTTATATTACTGTTTTGAAAATAATAAAACAATTGTAGCATTTAACTTGGGTCAATACCTGGATTTATCGACCCAAGAAAAGATATATTGACCTCGGACTACGTCCTCGGTCAATATATCTTTCCTCGGGTCGATTAATCCAGTCATCAACCTCAGCCAAAGGCTATAATTGAACTCTATGTAATACTGATATATTATAGACATTTAGGTCTAAGTTATATTGATATCTTAGAGACAATAAGGTCTATGTTATATTGACATTTTATAGACAATAAGGTCTATGTTATATTGATATTTTATAACAGTTAGGTCTATGAAATATTAATATTTTATAATAGACAATTAAGTATATGTTATATTGATATTTTATAACAGTTAGGTCTATGAAATATTGATATCTTATAGACATTAAGGTCTATGTTATATTGATATCTTATAGACAGTAAGGTCTATGTTATATTGATATTTTATAGACAGTTAGGTCTATGTAATATTGATATTTTATAGACAGTAAGGTCTATGTTATATTGATATCTTATAGACAGTAAGGTCTATGTTATATTGATATTTTATATACAATTAGGTCTATGTTATATTGATATCTTATTGACAGTAAGGTCTATGTAATATTGATATTTTATAGACAGTAAGGTCTATGTTATATTGACATTTTATAGACAATTAGGTCTATGTTATATTGATATCTTATTGAAAGTAAGGTCTATGTAATATTGATATTTTATAGACAGTTAGGTCTATGTAATATTGATATTTTATAGACAATTATTGATATCTTATTGACAGTAAGGTCTATGTTATATTGATATTTTATAGACAGTTAGGTCTATGTTATATTGATATTTTATAGACAATTATTGATATCTTATTGCCAGTAAGGTCTATGTTATATTGACATTTTATAGACAATTAGGTCTATGTTATATTGATATCTTATTGACAGTAAGGTCTATGTAATATTGATATTTTATAGACAGTAAGGTCTATGTTATATTGATATTTTATAGACAATTAGGTCTATGTTATATTGATATCTTATTGACAGTTAGGTCTATGTTATATTGACATTTTATAGACAGTAAGGTCTATGTTATATTGATATTTTATAGACAATTAGGTCTATGTTTTATTGATATTTTATAGACAGTTAGGTCTATGTAATATTGATATTTTATAGACAGTTAGGTCTATGTTATATTGATATCTTATTGACAGTAAGGTCTATGTAATATTGATATCTTATAGACAGTAAGGTCTATGTTATATTGATATTTTATAGACAGTTATTATTAGGTCTATGTAATATTGATATTGTATAGAAAATTAGGTCTATGTTATGTTGATATCTTATAGACAAGTGGGTATATGTTATGTTGATATCTTATAAACAATTAAGTATATATAATATTGAAATCTCATTTTCCATAGATCAGGCCTTGACCAAGAAAGTTTCACTTGCATGTTAAGTATTTGATGAAGTTAAATTAAGAAATAAAATATTGAAGTAAAAGAACGAAAGGAATTTCACAGAATAATAGAATCTCTCATCCCATTTGGGGAATTTAAACCCAAGAGGAAAGATTCCTAAGTTGCCAAACACTCAGCTTGGCCTCATGTTTGGCAACTTAGGAATCTTTTCCCTGAGATTTGAGATTTCCAATTTAACTTAATGGGGTTGAATGATTCTTTTTCTCCTACCCTGTTCACCCATTGCGTATCATATCCATATTGCAATATGTTAAATGTAAAATGCATTGTTGATGTTACGTTGATGGATCGTTGACATGAGGTCATTGTATTATTGACGTGAAGTCCTACAATTGTTATGAATAGGGGAATCCCCCCCCCCCCCGACCTACAGTATTTGTCATGGTGATTGTTTATGGATAAACTGATAAGTTTTAACGACAAGCTGCAATGTTTATTTTTTTGTGAGCCCTTTTCATTTTCAAAAAGTATTCTAAAATATTTTTTTAGAATGTGAAACGAAACCAAAATCAAACAAAGTACTTAATACTGTTAGGATTTTTTTTATCTTATTGATTGAAATTGCATGTAAAACAGATTTTTTTTTAAATTTCAGTGTCATAGAGTGTCATGTGCTACAGAGGGCCGGGATACTTCACACTTCTGTGGTCTAGATAACAATGATAGTATCTTATAAACTACCAATTAAATATGACCAAAAAAATCCATCACAGACTAACCAATACACGTATCGTCTTCTCCAAATATAATACAGAAACTGTGAACTCATAAAGATATACCCCCACTGCTTCAATTTCATTACTATTTAAATGTTGCTTGCAGGGGTAAACTACCCCAATCACAGATCCTTCCTTCATTGACATCTACATATGATGTTCTTTTCCTGTACAAAAAATTCCAACAAACTGTTAAGGAGGTTTCAAGGGACAAACTACAGGAAAAAAAGGTTGAATCACAAATTCATTTCTTCATACACATCTTCATATGATGTACTTTGATTGTGCCAAGTGCAAAAATCTAACAAACTATTAAGGCGGAGTTGCGTTTTCAAGGTTTCTCGAGCAGAAAGTCTCAAGGGCCGTAACTAACTGAAAAGTAGTCAAATTGCAAATTCTTTTATTCATGCACAACTCCAAATGGTTTACTTTCACTGTGCTAAATTACAAAAAAAAATCAACTTAAAGCTTTACACTTATAAGGTTCAAGGACGGACGGACGGACGGACGGACAAATGGAAGTGATTCCTACATACTCCCTGTTACAAAAAAAAATTTGAAGGGAGTATGAAAAAAAGGCATAACTCTAATCAAAGTATTGAGAGCGGAAAATCAATTGCAATCACACAATTAAGTAAGGCACTGTTAAAAATACTATGTTTGTTTACTCATTCACCCCTACATATTTAAACTGGACCTCCACAATATTTGATTTAGTAAGGTTCAAATGTGACTTTTAAGGGTGAATGGGTTAAATACTGGTCAAGCAGATTTTAAGGAAATATATACTGTACATCAAACAAGAGGCACAATGGGCCTGCATCGCTAACCTGGTATTTATCTCAAACTTGTATCCTTAAAAGTGATCTGAAATAAAGCTACAGGCAAAATATCAGTATTTGTGACTATAAGTCATTCAAAAGAACCTGTTTAAAGATTTAAAAACATTTGACCCTAGGCCTTATGGGTATTCAGAAGTCCTTTGAAGATTTTGAACATATTTGATCCCTGTGACCTTGAATAAAGGTCAAGGTCATTCATTTCTAGAAACTTTGTAGCCCTTCATCCCAGCATGTTACAGGCTAAATAGCATCATCCTTCACCTTTTGGTTATTCAGAGGTTGTTTTTAAGATTTTAAATTATTTGACCCCTGTGACCTTGAATATACGTCAAGCCCATGATCCAAGCATGCTAATGGTCAAACATCAACGTTCTGGACCTCATGGTTATTTATAAGAGGCTGTTTAAAGATTTTAAACATATTTAACCCCCCTGTGACCTTGAATTTAATTAAAGGTCATTAATTTTAAAAAACTTGGTAGCCCTAGGGCCTTCATCCAAGCATGCTACTGGCTATATATCATCACCCTTCGCCTTTTGGTTAATCAGTAGAAGTTGTTTAAAGATTTTGAACATATTTGATCCATGTGATCTTGAATAAAGGTCAAGGTCATTTATTAGAACAATCTTAGTAGCCCTTCATCCCATCATGTTACAGCCCAAATGTCATCATCCTGCGTCTTTTGGATATTCAGAAGAAATCATTTAATGGTTTCAAATGTATTTGACCCCTGTAACCTTGAATACAAGTCAAGGTCATTCATTTGAACAAACTTAGTAGCCCCTCATCCTAGTATGCTACTGGCCAGATATCAATATTATTGAACTCATGGTTATTCAAATAAAGTCTTTTAGATATTTGTAACATATTTGACCTGTAACCTTGAATATAATTCAAGATCATTCCTTTGAATAAAATTGGTAGCCCTTTACCCCACCATGCTACTGACAAAATGTCATAATCCTAGTCCTTTTTGTTTTTTCAGAAGAATTTGTTTATTTTTTTTTTAACCAATTAGCCCCTGTGACCTTAAATATGAGTGAAGGTCATTCATTTGAACAAACTTAGTAACCCTTCTTCCAAGCATGCTACTGGCCAAATATCATCACCCTGGACATTTTGGCTATTAAAAAGAAGTTGTTTAAAGGTTTTAACATATTTGACCCTGGTGACCTTGAATATGGGTGAAGGTAATTTATTTGAACAAACTTGGTAGCCCTTCATCCCAGTTTGCTACTGGCCAAATAACATCACCATGGGCATTCTGGTTATTCAGAAGTTGTTTAAAGTTTTTAACATATTTGACCCCTGTGACCTTGAATATGGGTGAAGGTAATTTATTTGAACAAACTTGGTAGCCCTTCATCCCAGTTTGCTTCTGGTCAAATATCATTCCCCTAGGCCTATTTGTTATTGAGAAAAAGTTGCTTGAAGTAAAATCTTGATGCCAGACGAACGGATGCTGCACCAGGGCATAATCTCACTGGACCCTTCGGATCAGGTGAGCTAAAAGGGGCATTATAATGTAACTCCTAAAATTATGATCAATGTTAAAATAAAATCACAAGTTCATAACTATTTAATGTACTGATTACCTTTATTAGCTCTCTGTAATATTGGACAGCTCAGAAGATAATAAGCATTGCTTCAGTCATAATTCTGTTTACAGACTCTGTGATTGCAGTATTTCTCCCTTCCATTACATTAACAATGCTTACATCTTGCATACCTTTCATCTGTGTAGCAACATTATCAACCAGTTGAAGATTGCTATTCATGAACCCTGGACGTGGTTTCATTGGTCAATCTTCTAATTCTGACCTCAAGTAACAATGCTTTGCGACATCATCTGCCATTTTGACGTCATAGTTCATAGCACTGTTACCTGATCATCAACAAGAATAAGGTATTCCTAAGACAAACCTAAGGTTTTCTAGGTATAATATCTGAACCATGTGGAAGAAAAAGGCCCCTAAACTTATTATGGTTGATACTCATGTTTACCTAACTCTCGTTAGATAATTTTCAAACGTAAAAGACAATCGGTAAACCATGTGTCTTTATACGATTTGAAAATTAACTAACTCAGGTAAGATAAAAATGTCAACCAACCATCACTGGTTAGGGAACCTCTATATCTCTAATGAACTCTAACTTTATATTTAACTTACATTAAGTTTTCTATCTTTTTTCACCTCTACATCAAAATGTAACTGTTCAAACAATCTTCGCAGACTCTCTTCATCCTTGATCGTTCCTTCTCTTTTTTGTAGTTTAGTCTTCCATTCTCCATCGATCTTCTCTTTGTAATCAACTATTACAAAGTTGTTGAACAATAAGACACGTCCGCGAGGTTTACCCATCATTTTATAGCACTGGAAGAAAACATTCATCACAAAATCAATGGCATAATTCAATCTGCCAACAACTCCAAGAATAGACCCTCTTAAACATAACTACAATTTATTCTAATACTTAAGAATGACTTTTATACAAGTACATTGTATAACAATTTTATAATTTAGATTAAAATCTTCAATGCATTTTTTAAAATGGTTCATCATCTGCCTTATTTTAGGATGGTCATAAGCATGACCTGCACATACAGTTATGGCAGTTCAAGAGTTAAATACGATGTCGCCTGACAACCGAGATCCTTTGGTGTGCAATTTTGCCAGACTTGAGTGACTACATGGCGACTGTACAAGTGTGGTAATTGAAATGTTTACATTGCCTGAATTACTGATTACCAGTAATTTTCAAAGTTTATAGTGTGCAAGGTGCAAATTATGACAAAGTTATTTCCGAATTCTAGTCATCTTGAATTCTTTATAATTCTGTCTAATTTTAGATACAACAAGCTTATTTTTTTTAGCTTTATTTCAATTCATTTAACACAGCTACTACTGTACCCATGGCGTACCGTGTCACTGTTCCACAAGACTTTAGCTGCATCACCACACTCTTTTACTACAAAATCTGTCACGCAATCTTGTTCAGTTGGCCATCCTGCAACAAAGTTATAAATAATTAACTAAAAGGAATGGCCATCCTGCAACAAAATTATAAAGAATTAACTAAAATTCATGGATATCCTGCAACAAAGCTATAAATAATTAACTAAAATGAATGGCCATCCTGCAACAAAGTTATAAATAATTAACAAAAATTCATGGCAATCCTGCAACAAAATTATAAATAATTAACTAAAACTCATGGCCATCCTGCAACAAAATTATAAATAATTAACTAAAATTCATGGCCATCCTGCAACAAAGTTATAAATAATTAACTAAAATTTGTGGATATCCGGCAACAAAGCTATAAATAATTAACTAAAAGGAATGGCCATCCTGCAACAAAGTTATAAATAATTAACAAAAATTCATGGCCATCCTGCAACAAAATTATAAATAATTAACTAAAATTCATGGCCATCCTGCAAAGAACAAAGTCATAAATAATTAACTAAAATTCATGGCCATCCTGCAACAAAATTATAAATAATTAACTAAAATTCATGGCCATCCTGCAACAAAGTCATAAATAATTAACTAAAATTCATAACTCAGGGAATGAGAATAAGAAAGGGAGAGATTGTATTAATCTTACTTGTAGGGAGGGCAATCACAGGCGGCGGGAATTGATGATTTTCTTCCGAGGGAGAAACCATTCCTTTCTGACTGGATGTCATCACTTCTCTGTACTTCTGTCCAGCTCCCGGACTTATCTGCTCAGCACTAAATTCATTATCTGTTCGAACAAGGGCTTTGAGGAATTCTTCAAACGCTTTCGGTCCTCTTCTTGGAATTATATCTAATAGCTTTCTATTTCTATCATCATTTGTACGCTCAGCCTGCAAGTTTAAATGTTCAGATTATAGCTATATTTCAGATCTATCAGCTGGTAAGATTATGTAAAGATTAGAATAAACATATTTCCACCTATTTATTGTCTATTATTTGCAAATTTCAATATGTTTAGAAATATGTGCATACTACTTTGTTTTATTTACATAGTTGACATACTGCAGGAAACCTGGTGTGTTAGTTTCGCTGAATACGGCAGGATTCCCACAGAATGTTGATTATACGCTGAGTTACATACTACACAAAATAAGTATATTATACATTACGTTACATTAACTTGTGTACCTAACCAGAAAATTAATATGAATTTATGTTTGTATAGGACTATATAAAGAATCTTGACTGTTGATTTTTTTAATTAAGTAATTAAGATTTGGCAGAATTACACCAAAAACTGTGGGAAACGTTCCAACAATCTCATACATATTATGAAAACAAATCAATGATTTCTTTCATCATAGTCTCAAAACATTAACTGAGAAAATGAGGGGGGTTTTAAGACATCGATTCTCTGACAGATTAATAAAATCAATGACCAGTAACTGAGAAAGATCAGATTATCTATGTCCAATCATAGTCAGGTTTTTTCCCCAATATTTTTATTACCTCTTCCATTTTGATATTCTACTTTCCAAGTTCATTTGTGCCGTTTTTTTCTGAATTTACTCCAAAATGAATACCTAGTACTTTAGTGATTTCACAGGCCCAATATGTATATCTTCATGTTGATCATCCATCACTATCCCATTGTCTCGTAACTTTATTCCTTGTGACTTTTCTCTATTAAGTATCAGACATGATACTTTATGCTTTGTGATTGTTTAATTTTAATGCCCTTTAATTTTGTCTTATATATTTTTGCAGCTGTTATTTCTATAGTTACATGTATTACAAAGAGGAGTGCTGATATTGGACAGCCTTGCCTTATTCACGTGTAACATTTACCCGTTCAGATAACAATGCATTATTTGAGACTAAGCAACTAATTTGATTGTATGAAGGTATTCATAAACCCGTCCTTAAATCCAAAATGTTTTCATAAACCTGTCCTTATATCTAAAATGTTTTCATAAACCCATCCTTAAATCCAAAATGCTAAGTGTAGTAAACATAAATTCCCATTCTATGGAGTCAAAGGCCTAAGCATAGGCGATAAAAAGTATAGCCCCAGTCATTTGAAATTTATTAGTATAATCAATAATGTCATGGATTAAACGAATGTTATATCTAATATATTCCTTCCCATAACAAAGCCATTTTGATCAGTGCTAATTATTTTTGCAAGTATAGGTTTAATCATCTCAGCCGAACAGTGAGCTAATATTTTATAATCAACATTTATTGGCCACCAGTTATTTAGGTCGCAGTGATAAAAAAAATATACATCTATAAGTGATAAAATTCCAATTTAGTGTGATTCAGATAATCTTTTATGTTTATATACCCCTCATTTAAAAAATAAGCAAGTAATTTTTCAAGATGTTGCCAGAATATTCTGTAAAATTCATCATATTTTCAATATTTCTGGAGAAAACACTGATCATTCATCACACTCACAGCAAACCTGCAACAACATGTTTCACCACAGTTTACTATGATACATAATTTGAAGCTAGAGAAAACCTTATTCAACATTTTATGCCTATCGAAGTGTGAGTACTTCCTATTGGTAAGCCTTTAGGAAAGCTCCCTGATGTACGCTCTGACAAATACTGGTCGACAGATTGGATGTATTCTTAGCAGTTAACTCCTTCAACTCTGAAATTTCATAATGAACTATTCCAACCTTTGAATTGGAAGAGTTCAAATGCATCTTCAGGGATGAATGAGCTAATAATATACAAACCTCAATGTCTTGTTTCATTCCGTCTGTAATTATACGCTCTTCCATAAGTTTGTCTACCACGCTCATGGGTTTATAGATGTTTTTCACCAGGTAACTTCTATTTGACGTCAGTTTCCTTTTGTCTGTTTCATCCATTTCAAAAGTCTGTGTTTTTATGCAGCTCAAAAATCCGTTTTATTTTTCACTGACACTTTCCTTGTTAAACATGTACATGTATATATTTGTCACGCATGACATTAAAGGCTTGCACCTGGAAAAAATAAAAATAAAATTTCAAGACATTATTTAACAGTTTTCAAAATAATACCCCACTGCACTACAATAAAATCAGAAGAAATTAAGATGAGAGCGAAAAGTGTTCACAAAACATGAAAGAGCTGATTTTATTTGATATACATGTACATTGTATTACAGTTATTTTTTGTGAGATATTAATTTTTCATCCGCAAATTTTGTCACATTTTCCCAATTGAAAAGGCACATGTATGTTACTTTGAAAACAGGACCGTTCATATTGACCCTGTGGCATCCCATGTTGATAATATACTGCTATGTATTATTTTTTGTACAACCAAATATCAGCACATGTTCTAACAGATAAGTGCATTAATTTGTCTTAAGCTAATTGACCATATGCTTCAACTAATTAGCCATATTGAGAATGAAATTTAACATTTATTGTACAAAGTCCATAATTGATAGTGGAATTTATCAACATTTGAATGAACAATATGCTGTAGAGTAAATTTAATATAAAAAAATGTGGGAGCAAAAGATTTACAAGATGTTATGTATAATCAGATTGGAGGCGACCTCTTTTATAAATTACAATTGAAGCGATCCCTGCATACTGATTCGATCATTATATTTGTATATGAAGTCAAAAGACAGGCAGCAGTTGAACGGCCTAGTGTCTACCTTGCTGCTTCAAGCCCTGAGTTCTACAGAAACAGTACTAGAATCTAGTTCTATACGATGTAAAAAGATGGTCATCGGGCTCTGTCAAGGTATGATATGCTGAACTGAACTGTATGGCATTTTGTCAGAATTATATATCAACGAAACAAATATTTCAGCACTTTTGCAGAAATACATACCAAAATTACGAGGACGCAAACCTCGATCGGATGAATGAGATCAGCACCTTGTTATAATGTTGCCCTCACTATCTCATCATGCAGGTGCAGACTTAGGAGTTCCGGTATCAAAGTGAAAGTAGTGTATGACGTCATGCATCTTTGTGTACACCACGAGTTAATTCCCCTCACTTAGTGACTGAAATATCAATCGGGAACCGTCGGCACTTTCCGTAAACGAGTATTTTCTCGTTTACGGAAAGTGCCGACGGTTCCCGATTGACTGACATACATGCATGTATCAATTAATTATTCTATTCGCCCATGCTCCATTAACAAAAAAGCATGTCGCATGATCCTTTCACCTTCTATACTATAGCCTATACGTCAAAACTGTAGTTTATTAATAGGTTTTCCAAAAACAAAAACAAAAAATTTAGTGAAAATTTAACGTACGGTAAATTTTCAAAAAGGTGTGCAAGAACATGCCAATATATATACTCGAATTATCGTTGTCGAGTCACTTACTCCGATGCCAAAAGCTTTGTTATTTTTCAGTATAGTTAAAATTCATTTGTTTTCTTCATAGTTTAAAAGTTTACTTGTGTCTTAACAAAACGTGATTAATTCAATATCAATAATTTAAGCTAAATTATGATTTTTTGACGATTAATTACTGTTGATGCTTTTCCAGATACCTTACCTCTATTTCTCCTATTGGGCCCGCCCTTCTGCCCCCTGGGAGACCACACCCACTGCTTATAAAAACAAATGAGTCCCCTTGGCCCAAGGATTCTCAAGACTAAATTAGGATAAAATCCCTAAATCCCTATGGTAGAAAAAGGATTTTAAAGGTTTTACCTCTATTTCCCCTATTGGCCCCCGCCTCTCTAGATCTGACTCCAGGGGGAATTAGACAAATCGTTTATACAAAATTGGTTCCCCTTCACCCAAGGATGGTTCATACCAAATTTGGACAAAAGCCTGTCATTCCTACAGAAGAAGAAGGTTTTTGAAGAATTTGCTGTTTCCCCTATTTGGCCCCTCCCTTCTGCCCCCAGGGGGAGGGGGGGGGCACACTCGCTTTTTATACGAAATTGAGTCCCTTTTGCCCAAGGATGCTCCAGACTAAATAAGGATAAAATCCCTTAATCCCTACGGTAGAAGAAGGATTTTTAAGGTTTTACTTCTATTTTCCCTGTTAGGCCCGCCCCTCAGGTCCAAGGGGGGCCACACCCACTGTTTCTACAAAATTGGTTCCCCTTTACCAATGATATGGACCAAATCCTTTCATTCATACAGGAAAAGAAGGATTTTAAAGAATTTGTTATTATTCCCCTATTGGGCCCGCCCCTCAGCCCCCAGGAGGGCAAGACCCACCGTTTATTCAAAATTGGTTCCCCTTCACCCAATAGTGCTTCCGACCAAATATGGAAAAATCCTTTTATTCCTACAGAATAAGAGGGATTTTAAAGTCCTTCGGACCAGGTGAGCTAAAAATACTGTAGATTGCATATCCGCAAATACTCCTTTGGACTCAGAATTATGGCAAGCCAACTTAACATTTATTCAAGGAGCAATGTCGATCCTGTATTTCATCAAATTGTATAAGATATCTTATATAGCATATGAGATATCTTATACACTATATAAGATATCTTATATCGTATAGAATCGTTGATATATGGAACAGCCTACCGGATTCGGTCGTACAGGCGACAACCATTAAACTTTGAAATTAATTTGGAGGACAACTATTGGAAATGCTTGGAACTAAAATGTAACCATCTTGCTAGCTTCAAATCCATTACCGGCAGTTACTATTAATTTTATTTCATTTTATGTATAATTATTGATATGGATATAGAGGCATAATTATGCCTGCGTCCATTATATATCCTATTGTATCCTATTGTTATATGGCATATAAATCCATCAACATTAATTCCCTTAGCATATATATCAAGTCTCCCACATGGGTATTCGTGGTTTGTCCGGTAAAATTTCAACAGACACGTGACCTGTATTTGTCTAATAAAACTGTACTCATTGCCGTGGGCATTTTTTTCTGCTTACACGATAAAAGTGAAATATAACATTGTTGTGCAATGTGTAAATTTAAAGTGAATACTGAGTGAATATAATTTTGCTGACGTAAAAACCTTTGCCGACCAGATACGTTATAAACAGATATGTTGTAAATGGTTCTATACTCTTTGTTTATAACAAAGATACTCTAGACTCTGGTTTGGTCTCGAGAAATGTTGATGAGAACAATACGTAGTCAGATATTTTACAAACTGTACTTGCATCAGCTGGCTTAGTTTCCAAGGAGACTATCTTCAAATCTTAGGCATGAACGCATATTTAATAATGACTAATTTGTGTACGGTATTGTAGATATTCGAACAAATTAAACCACTATAAGGTTAGTGGAAAGGATTGATTAGTGAAAAGCTATGATAGAAAAGGGTGAGATATGTGAATTATAGGATCACATCACTTGGAAAACATGTAACGTAAAAGTTCACTTTGGTCAAGTTCCTGTTTCGGTGCATTATTTTCGCAAATAAAATCGACTTGGTTACATGTATGTGAATATTTGAGATAGGTTTATATATTTGATCACAAGTGATCATAACATCGATTAAAAGTTTGTTTAAGTGATAATGTTAAGTAGCATGCGTGTAACACCTGATCAATATAATGTGTAACGTATCTGTTGGAAATGGTAACGTATCTGTTTAAGTTTTGAATGGAAGGAACGGTTGAAAAAAGGGACGTGTACGCTAGCGTACAAAGTTTTGGAAGTATAAGTTAAAGCCGCCTTGATGTTTAATTACGTCTGAGGCTTATATGAAATTGTTTTCAATATCAAAGTTTGTTATAAAGTTACTTGTTTAAATTGTGTGAACACATACGTTACAATAACAAATGATATCCTTGTTTTAATGCAACATAAGGATTTTTTTCTTCTCAAATATAGATCAAATTATTAGTAGTTAACCAAAATAAGTACAAATAACATATCATTTCAGTTGAATATACTGTAAAATTTGATTTGTATTTCTGGCTACCAAGATAACCTATAGCTATATACTTTACAATATGATACTCAATTTTAAAGAGATACAAGCGAGGTAGTATCTGTGTTGTGTTACTTAAGAACGAATGTTGTGTACTGTCGATATGTATAAGTCGATGAAAAAATACTTTTCTAAAACTAAACCCATGAATACTGTTCAAAAAAGTTTGAAGTTCAAAGAATGAAATAAATATTGTTTTTGAATACAATGGTTTTGAATGATATTCGATCGAAACAAAATGCCTATTTTCATTTACGATCAGAAAAACGTGTTAGCATTTGTCGCAGAAATGTCTGTTTTTATAACAGTCTATCTTAAAATCACGATTATGGTAAATGTGAAGAAGAAAAGAACATTTTGTTTTGAAGAAGTACTGCCTCACGTATCTGTTACACTGACAATGACCTGTTGGGAATGGACACTTCTGTTTTCAAAACTGGTGAATAGTAAACAGAACCCTTTCGGTTTGTTATCCTACACATGTTACTTTTTTGAGGAAAGATAACAAAATGTTCCCAATGCAAAGTTCATATTCCACTTTTACTCTTTATGTATTGGCGCATGATTAGTGAGAATGAACGATAAAACAGAACTGAATATCATGCATGTACATGTAGCAACAGCAAAAGGTACAACAGGCCTAAAGGTAGGGACCTCGTACAGGTTGGCAATGAATTTTAACACCAATAAATGTTATGTTTTTAAAGGGACATCATGTGAAAAGGCGTTTTTTTTAAAATAAATGTATGTATTGTATGCACTTCCACTTATGTTACCTCGCTATCCCCATCGTCTCACTCGATATGTTTATGTAGTATTTGAAAAAAAGACACAAAAAAAGGTAATTCACCGTGATGCCCCTTTAATTAAAATTATACCCTTTAATTATCAGTTTTTAGAAAATGTAGATTCTAGTAAAATACATTATGTAAATATCTTGGTGTCTTTTTTCAGTTCAGATTTTGGGTAAACACATTCAATCATTAAACAACAAGGCCAATAAGACCTTGCAATTCGAGTTCCTACGTCGAAATACATTTTCATGTACTAGGAAAGTCAAATAACATGCATATGTACACTACTATTTTAAGACCAGTTTTAGAATATGCCTCAACTTGTTGGGACCCCCTATTCCATCAATTAGACAATGGACAACGAAGAGCGGCGAGATATACTTTTAATGAGTACATATCTAGATGTCACTGTGGCCAAGCTAGTGGTTTAGCTCGTCACGTACATATTTGATATTAAATTGATATTTGATAAATACTTGAGCTGGGTGTGTGTGTCGGTATGTATATTTCTGTGATGGTGTGTGTATTATATCAGGTTGTTATTGTCACATGCGAGAGATTAGAGATAGTATTGGCTGAGGAGACACTTTGACCCTGCATGAACCCATATGCACATGGGAGCCTCACCTATGCGCCCTACGTGTATTTCAACACCAATCTTGAGTATACCATGTAGAAAGCAACACTGAACATTTTTATGACATTTTCTATCTAATATACTTAACAGCTGTGAATAATAATGTTAAAATTTGGCCACATAATATGGTCGCTATAACTGCATGTAGTAGGGTCAACCTGGAAATAAAGGTACCTTCAGGGGGCTCGAATAGAATTAAATATATAGTTAATAATAGTATAGACTTACTTATGAAGGTAAGTAATACTTTACAGTATGAATTATAGTAAACAAATTATCATTTACATGCAATTATGATATATAGTCGTTTGTAAAATTTTATTTCAGGTCACCGTCGCCTCGTGTCTCCTTGTTGTGTTTTATTTGTCATTAATAAAACAAAATACACTGATAAATTGTCTGGGAGTAATCATTGGAGTCAGGACAACCGATAGCAGAATAATACTCGTGCGACAGGCTGTGTTACAAACGATTAATGAGAACGTGATAGACAAACCATTTATTGTTATAATTGTTAAACTTACATAAAATGTATTTTCTTAAATTAACATTAGAATGGATTTTATTTTATTTTACTATTAATCATATATATTTTCCCCTTTACTTCTCCATATCATTTA